CGCCAATCTTTTGTTGCTGCTTCCAATCTCTGGCGATGGACTCCGGTAAGAGTCCGAAAGCTTAGAATAAAATACAAATCGTTCCTGTGTTCGATCATCTGTCTTCTTTACCGATAGTAGTCAGTAGGTGACGCAACTGAAATTGTGATATGCAGTATCCTAGGAACACTGCGCGGTTAGACGATTGTGGCGAGGAAACACACCAGAGACTTCCCTCCACAAGCAATACTCACAGTCGTGTTCCTCGAGTCAATCGGAGTTTCCGTAAAATAAGTTCTACCTCAGAAGAAAGAGGAGCGTTCACCGGTGAACGCTCTTCTTTCTTCTGATCTACCACCCGGGAATCGAATTTTCAGCAATATTACAGTAAGTTCCACCTACCCACTCGCTCAATTGGTGAACATGGCAGGATTGCCAACTTCCATGATCCAGCTGTCGCCTTAGTATAGTAAAAGTTTCGAATTGCCAAAAATACTCGGTGTGAAGGTTAGATAGCCTTGATGAGTTACCCACTCTTCCAGGTTTGGTGCAGTCAACATAGCCACGAAAGTAGCTCGGCGATAGTCCAAATCTTGGGGGTAGTATGAGTAAAATTGTGGCCAGGATTGCCTGGTCCCGTTCTGGCCGACTAAAATAAAAACTGACGCCATGTACAAGCGAATTCCACAAGAATTTCTAGAAAAGTAGTTGGTCTGTCGAATTTTTTATATTTATATTAGCTGAATATTTTTAATTTACTAGTAATTTAATAGGATAAAGACGTTGGCTGGCATCATTTGCTGAACGTACCCATGTGATTTCAAGCCGTACAGTGTAAGAACGTTAGCAGTTCTAATCATACAGCGAGGCGCCCACAGTGAACAGATGGAGCGTCAACTGATTAACGACAGGGTCTTGAGACGTAGATCCCAGCTTACAGGGTGATTGAACTAATTTGTTTGTTCCAAAAAAGCCTCAAGCTTTCGAGAGGCATTTTCGCCAATTCTTTTTTTTACTACAGGGAACGGCACAGCAATAATATTCGCGGGAAAAATATTCACATAAAAAATTAGCACGCGTAAGAACTTAGTATCATACATTAAGTGAGCCAGTCCACAAACTGATATGAAAGGAGGAGGAGGAAGGGTATAAATTAAAAACCTACAGTTAGGAGACTTAAGAGTAACGTATGAGAGCAGGGGAGACAAATCACATGAGCTTTGTACTCTCCGGAGAGGGCTTATAGGCGGCTGTTTACATCAACATTAGGACGGTAAGTAAAACTGAAGTGATGACTAGAAGTCGACTGGAGATTGAAGTCGAACTTCTGCACTGTAGTATTTTGGTCACGAGCGCCGGGATTGAAGTTTGCCTCCAACACAATGGTGTACGCGCCCCTGCAGAAGGAAATAAAATGTTTATGAATACATGTTACTTGGTAACTGTAAGTAGCAAGAGTGTATAAACGCAATATGTCGAAACCATCAAGGGACTGACCCAATGAGAGGCTGAAGTTGTTTCCCAGTGAGGAAGAAAAGACCTGATCCCACGCTGAATTTGTGGCGAACGAGTGCCCGTTCCGGCCGGCCAACTGGGTGTATTACGATGCTCAACCCGGGTAGCAGCAAATCCGGTGTATCAACGGTGGCCGAAACCTAGAGATACAAAAAATACCCGAGTTTTGGGAAGTCCAACAAATGATGGCTGAAAATTCTTTCGCCGAAAAAAGGTCTTATTTCCAGAACGCACCGTTCCCATGGTCACCAGAGGAGTGAGAGAAAAGTGAAGTCCGCTGAAATCTTCAGTTGTCATTCGAAGAATTATCGATCGCGGCACGGTGTGCTGCGTACCGGCTGCAGAGTGTTCGGCGAACTCATCCACGGTGTCAGGCCCTTTCTGTGTAGACTGGCCGCGCACTGTCACTGAGTAAAAGCAACCTGGTTGAGGGGGAGGGCAAACGGAGTGGAAAATGGGCTCAATTAAACTACAGGAACCCCTTCATATTATAGAAAACAGGACCCGACTATCCTGACATCACTAGTGAATAGGGAAAAAAGAATAGAACGTACAAACGTTGTTAGAAAATATGCCGCGTTCAAAATCCAAAACACGTCCTGCCAGTAGTTACAGGACTACCCTTGAGAAGATTTCAATAACTACTCAAGAAAACGCCTCCAATAAACGTCAAACAACAGATTTCCGAGCGAGAATCCGACACATATAATGAAGTGTCGTTTGAAGAGTAAGCGTAGAACCGTGAATGCATTGTTCTTCCTTCGAATTACGGTAAGAGCTTCAAAACATCGCTGGATAACTTATCCGGCCTGCTGGCCGCGACTGTTTTGCGTTCAATTTACATTTTCACATCATGTGAAATTAACCGTGAAAATTCAATTTTAAAGAAAGAACCTAGTCGGAATGTTTTTATGATACATAGTCAGTTGCTCATATTGCATTTCTGAACAACTGGTGCCATTTGTGGACCAGTAAGGATTCAGTAACCTCGGTGGCTGTTATTCGTCCCCAGTGATTTGGCTTACCTTCAGAATACGAGAAGCATATTGCACTTACAACTGCATGCAACTTACCTCCACACCTTCAACGTGTGGCGGACAGCCAGCATTGCTGTCTAAGTTCATTTTCAAATCTCCACTGCTTCAAGGTCATGCAACTTCACAGATAGTAACGGCTGCCCAAGAGCCCTTTGAATACGTCGGCCGACGCAGCACGGGCCACAATACACGACATAAGCTTGAGTAATGCAACACACCAATGGCGCACCACTTTAACTTGCTTCATAATCATACAGAAGAAACCGCAACCGATAGCTCACGCTATTTCAGTCAACCTCAGCCATGGCCCAAACACCTTTGGGCCTAAGTCGCTGCTGTGTCCACTTGCTGTTCGTCGCTTGCGACAGCCTGACTGTCGTCTTCGCCAAAAGTGACCTTGATGGGATGCATTTTTGCGATGTATGGCCAGTTCAAATCAAGTCAAGTTTATTAAGGGAAATATAGGCAAATGCCTCTGAACTCACTATCGGTACACAGTAGTTAGTTCATTTATCTCAGGACGCGGGCCTTATTCTTACTCAACTACAAAAACATTTTCATTACAACCTGTTTTTTGTTCATCTTTTGTTCATTGGAGATGAATCCCTTAATGTGTGTCTTATCATCAGTTCTGAGTTTTCCTACCTTGGTTGCCGTTTCACCTCAACCCCACAAATCTCGAGTTTCTTTTCAATCCCTCTTTTCTTCCATCGACAATCATTTTTCACCTCTAAAACTTCTTCTCTTACATATATCCCTACGTATTAGTTGTGATTGACGATCTGGATACGAGCATTCCATATTTGCACAAAAGCGCCAATCTACAGTCCTGGTAGACACTCTAAGTACTATTAACAGTTAAGTGTCAAAGTATTAGTTGTGAAAGTAGAATAACTTTAATTGTCATTTCAGGCTTGTCATCGGTAGCTAGACATACCTCCGCAGAAAACTGGAAATTCAGAATGTGTCCAGGCAACAAACAAAGCCACAGCAGTGCTGCACACCATCAAAGGGCGTTTGTAGCTTTCGACAAAGATTTCTTTGGCAAAGTGTACGGCACCTTCGTTCGAACACATCTAGAATATAGCATACAGGCGTGGCGGTCACGGCTGGCA